GTTTCAGAATACCAGTTGCAGAATCTGACTTTCCAGTTTCAGAATACAAGTTTCAGAATCCCAGTTTCAGAATCCTAGTTTCAGAACCCCAGTTTCAGAATCCTAGTTTCAGAACACCAGTTTCAGAATACCAGTTTCAGAATCCAAGTTTCAGAACCCTAGTTTCAGAACCCCAGTTTCAGAACCCTAGTTTCAGAATCCGACCGATTAGTTCCCGAATCCGGCTCTAACCTTGTATTGCACTCACTGCACTCCGTTGGTTTTCTCTTCGCATTGGCCGGCTTCTTGCAGGCAGGGACGTGGTCGCAGTTCTGCTCCGGGGCCGCAGTTTTGTATGGCGCCGTGGTGTTCACTGGCGCAGTGGAGGCGCAAGACTACCGTTGCTATCTCGAGGCTGCATGACAATAGTGCAACATGGGATGGGTATGCACTGTAAATATACGTTGGCACTTACATTGGCTAGTGCAAAGAAGGCCCGGCCATCCCTGTCACCGCCCACAGACGGACCGAGAGCATCCAGTTGAAGCCTTTGAACGAACCAGTCAGGACTCTTGGGACTGCCGGAGTCTGTCGTGGAGCAGCTCGTCGCTGCAGAGTCGCACATGGCACAGCTGGTGCGGCCTTTAGAGGACCGAACGAGACGACACACGCAAAGGAAGTGGAAGAGGGTGGCTGGAGTGGTCGGAGTTCAGTTGGGCAGGTTGCATTTCCTTCCATTGTCACTTTGAAGAAGACGACCCATCCTGTTGAAGTTGCCAAGACATGGGCCGAGATGGCCTAATCAATGCTCCTTCGTGAAGAACAGCAACACTTGGATTCCCAGGAGGCCCTTGACGGACCCGTGTTGAATCCACGAGGACCTCGGCTTCCAGGTGGAAATCTATGGTGCCACCTATGAGACTCCCTACCTGGAAGAGCTTCAGGCGGGATCGAGGGGGTCGAGAAGAAATTGCTGCAGTTGCACGTTGACTGGCAGCACTGGCTTCGCTTGCATGACTTGCAGCACCAGAGGGTGGGAAGGATTGCGTGCCAATCAGTGGGATCTTCGAGGACGCCCACCTTTGACCAGTCATCGAAGATATTTGTCATGAAGTCTCAGGCGATCCAGACCTGCAACAATGCAGACCTCGTGCAGCCTTTTTCGGCGTCAGCTCACATTGATATCATTGCATTGATTAGCTCCAATTAAAGGTTAGAACTCCTTGTGCCTCTGACCATGGGGGAGGCAAGAGGATTGGGTTTGGGTTAATTGAAATACACTGGGAACTATTGGGAACTGGAATATCAGGGATTTCACTATGTTGACTTACCAGCCCAATTCAGCCGACCAGCCGCCACGGGTCTTCCTTCACTGCCCATCAGTCTTGCATCGGATGAGGGGAACCGGAACTCAAACGGTGACAAGGTTGGGAAGTCGCCTCCCAACCAAAAGCGTCACAGATGGCCAATCTCCCTGAGTACCAAAGGAAATTGATGGTATACAATTAAGAACAGTATATATACGTATATACCACTATGAACTGTGATTGAACAAACTTTTGCATTTGTGTGGATCTTGCGATGATTAATTCAAATGTTTCGTCAAGCTTTGGGCTTTCAGTTGAGTCTCAGTAGTTCCTGCATCAGTTCACCCTTTGCATGTCCTGCACAAAATGGAAAGGTGTTGGCGGTTTCATTGCGCCTGGCCAAAGGGTTTGAATTCGTGTGGTGAAATCCACAAGATTAAACTACACAAGTTATACATAGTTACACGATGCCCACGAACTTACAAGTTCAAACTGCTTCTGCAGGCTGCTTATCGGCCCAGTTTGGTGAAGAACTTCACTTTATTAAGACCTCCTGGCTCCCAATTGGAAGGCAGATCTCGACGATTGCGTCTGGACAGTCGAACAGGGACTTACAGAAGGCCAGAGAAAAAATGAACTTGTTAGAGCTCTCTTTAGGTTTTGGCACCCAGAGTGTTGGATTCTGACTAGCTGTTCTTCTTTTCTTTTTTCGGATGTAGTTACGTACTTTCTTTGGTTCGATCACTAACTGGCTCCAGCCAACATAACGGACCGCGGCAGTGCTTCAATGTTGGTTCAGTTGCCCAGGGTTGAGTGCAGCTCTGGCCCTGCTGCCTGATGACCCATGTAGCTTGGATGAGAAGATGTCCCCAGACAGGGCAGCTTGGTGATTTCGACATGTGGGGGCTTTTTTGGGTTTCGCTCCAGCACGTCACGTTTTGGCTGCAACTTCGCAATTTGTTTCATCTCCTTTCCCCTCCTGGCATGTAACATCTTTGAAGTCAAGACAGTCAAGGTATTCAGCACGTGGTGCTCCTTCGCTTCGACTTAATCCTGAAGCGCCCCTTGGTGCCCTTCATCCAGCGTGCTTGGCGTGCACAGCAGGCCTATGCCCAGCTCATTCATAACGATCATGGACTGGACATGACTGGACTACAGTAGTTGCAATATATTCATCGCGTTTCACCTGTTGAAACCTGTTTTGACGGATTCCGTTTGATTTGGGTTGTTTGCACGGATCGCTCCCGTGCCGTGAGGGAGATATCCGGTCCGCCAGGACTTCATCGTTCCATTTTGGTGTGAAGTGTCCAAGATCTCGCAAATTGGTACCATGGCATGGCAAATTGTCGCAAGGCGGTTTATTTGTTCAAAGCGCCAGAGAGTTGACCTCCGCTCTTGGAACTCTTGCAAACCTAGTTGACCCGTGGCAATCGGGGGATGCTAAAAGTTTTGAGAAGGCTGAGAGGTGAAGGCAGGACTCCAGGATGGACAAACCTACCATTTACATGCATTTACATCAATCTTGTGCTATTCGCACATTGACAGTTACTGGGTCGGGGGTATCCTGTATGCTAATGTTTGCAGATAAACAATCATCCTGTTGATTATTGATTTTCTCCGGATGAGACTCTTGGAACGATATGATCCACGCAAGTATGATGAAATGATGTACTGTGTTGCATGTTGAGCAGCCTACACTCCTAAACTAAATGCGTATAGTGATGCATGCATGTGGCCGGAATGATTGTAGGCCTGCTAGCTGCTCGCCGTTGCTTGCCACTGCTCGCCCCCACGTCTGAGGTGGTGAACTTTGTGTGTCTGATGTCCTGCAAATGTTTCCCGCAAGATATGCAGGCTACGTGCAAAAAGCCTTACAAGACTTTAGCCACTTGGAAGCCAAGCTGCCCAGAAATGTGGATGGACGATGATTAATGGGTGCATGTTGATTTTTAGACATGCGGTGCAGCCACCAAAATATTGAAGGTTTGGCTCTAAGTCCCTGTCAAGCACTACCCCAATTTCATGTGCCACTTCACTCCTAGATTTTTCCTCTAGTCTAGTTCTGATGGAAGTTACCTCAGACACCAAGAGCCATGCTCCCTCACCAAGCTCCTGCTTTGCCCTCCTGTTTTGAGGCTCAGCTGGTATTAGTCACTTCCACAAGTGGGTGCTTCAGATGACTCAGCTGGGTGTTCTGCCAAGTCAAGTTGGCGTGTTGGCGCCTTGGATGCCAGTTGCACGAGAAGAAGGCAGTTCAATGGATCCAAACAAATCTGTCATTCCCAAGTCTTGTCGGGTGAAGCAGTGCAACGCCACTCCACTGCCATGCGCCACTCCACTGCCATGCAGAATGGACCGAACCCAGGTGCGACGACGCTTTGTCACAGATCCGGCCGGGCAGTGGCGCCTTGCCAAGAACGCATGTCCTTGCTGGTGGCTGTACCCCGACAGATGAGACCTCTCCATGAACGTTAATGTCGAGCAGTTTTCCTGACCTAGAACTCGTGCCGATTCTCTTGCCAGGAATCCTCTCTATGATTTTGCCAACCGAGAACGTCGACCACCCTCTCTGGAGCTGCGCCATCAGAACTGGACGATTTGACGGCCAGGACCTGTGACATCCTGTGACCGTGAGGCCGGGCTTGGATGCTTGCCATTTTAGTCTTTGGATGTCTTTGGTTGTCTGTGTTGTTTTCATTTGTTGGGTCATGGGATTGGGTCTAAGCTGATCTGAGACACCTGCAGTGCACCTGCAGTATGCGATGGCATGCAGTGCTAGAGTGGGCGACCTCGAGCTGTCCAACTGGATTGAGGACCCAAAAAGCATTTGCTTGGGACGTGTGCCACAGTGGACGCCAAGAATCAATAAAAAACAGCAGCTTGCTGACTGGGGAATAGGTGGGACGTTGATGTGATGGCTTCCAACGGGGCAACGTGAAATCTACGCCACAAATGCAACAAACGTGATAAAAAGTCTTTAGTGGAGCAGTGGTGGGGGTCCAGTTGCCCAAGAAAACTGGAACGGATTCGGAGGAACATTTATATCCTAGTTGATTTACCTAACTAATTAGAAAGCCAGACTCGGGGGAGAGAGAGTACCAAGCAGTTGAACTGGAGCACAGCCTGGCCAACATGATTTGCGAAGTGTTTGATTCCGGATTTGATTAGGGATCGCATCGGCAGATGCACCAAGATGCCCGGATCATCCGGGGCGAAGCACGAGAACGGATTCGCCAGGCTTCATGAACTGAAGCTTGAGCTAGTGTTGTCAATGGCTTATTGAGCCAGCCTTCGAGAAGGCCCTGGGAGGCTTAAAGGATTCTGAAGCGGAACAATGGGGCTTCAACACACTTGCAACTCCGTGCAACACATGCAGCGCTTCACTCAGACAGGCCCCCCCGTTGACGCATGAATCAACACAATGACCGACATAATGACCCAGAATCACTGCAGCAGGACGGCACGGCACGGGCTGCGCTCCAAATCTAATACATTGGGAATTTGCATGCGACGCGACCAGCTGCTCATAGTTCTGGGCGCAACTACCGCCAGTTGTGCAGTGCCACGATGTGCCACGCAAGTGCGAATGTCGCCATTTCGGGTCAAGACAACTGACCATATTATAGAACCTGAGTGTCACTGCTCGCATTTGCTCGCCATGCTGGTGACTTGTACAGAGACACAGATCTCAAGTTCTCCCACACCAACCTCGTATGGCACGCGAACCTCAAGTTCTCCCGTATCAACTTTGCAGCGTGGCCTCACTCTTCGCTCGGGGAAGGAGGAGCAGGATGTGCAGGCATTGCAGGAACGGATGCCTCCATGTATGTCACTGGCCCTTTTGTACATCCTGATTTTCTTGCTAGTTCTCAATGTGGAGATCGTGGTGCCAACGGCCGACGATTATGCGACACGCTTGGGGGCATCAGAAACCTTCAGCGGCTTGGTGATTGCATTGACGCCCTTTTGGCAAGGGATTCTTGGAATCCCGATGAACTATACCATGTTGAGGTTCGCTTTGGCGCAAGCGGTGTGGCACAAGCTGGTTGGACACTGGATGTCAGTGACATTATTTTGATATATGTTGATCACACTTCTTAGGTATTTTGAAAGACATACCGAGAACCAACATGTAGATGCACAGCACATATCGAAACAACTACTTACCTTTAGCCACGTTAGTCTCAAATTTGGCCGGATTGACACCCCCCCTTCATCACAATTTCAATCCCTGTTGTAGGCACGGCGTGCCGATGAAGAGCATCATCATCATCATGGTAGCAGGCTCTGTGCTGGGCAACGTGCTCTATGCCATGGCCGGGCTTATGCATTTGGCCTGTTGAAATTGTAGATTTTGAATGAGCTTGGGTGGGTTTGGGCGCACTTCTTGTAGGGTGGGTGACGGGTGGATACACGGTACATACTGTATTACTGTATAGTATAGTTGGAAGTTTCTTCCCTCTCCTTTAACGGTTTGCATGAAAGTTTGCACCGGCCCAGCAATACAGACAAATGTATATACACCAAATCTGGAGACTGTTGATCATGACAGCCTGTTATGTGTTGTTTTCATTTTAATGTTTGCCCAGTATGTGCTGTTTGATTTTTTCTATGCGTCACCTCTTCTACATAACAAAGTGCCCGCGACCATAGGCATTCCAAGCTGGTGATCTTGGCCGCGCGGACGATGGTTGGGATTTGCCAGTGCCAACTTGCTGGGCCGATCTATATCGCCTGGACAGTGGGCGTGAAGAAGCGGACCAAGGTGTCTTGGTGGTGTTGCAGGGATTTGAGACCTAGGGCCTAGGCGTCACAAGTCTCACCCCCCCCAAAAAAAGAGCGGGAGAGCACACACTAGCTCAAAATCTATCTAAAACATAGTAAACACCACGCAAAATTAAAAACTCCGCTTTGAGACCCAAGGCGACATGCATATTTTCTATATTGTTCTATCTTCCTGTGCAGAATTTCTATGTGCACTGTCAATGTGTGAAATCAATAATAAGCATTATTAGTTTGACTCTTTCTTGTTCAATATCAACAACTGCCTGGTATTTGTTCTCAAAGCTGTTTGGCTTGGAATCTTGAAAGGATTGATATCAGATCTGCAGACTTCAGCTTCAACACTCTCCCCTCAGCAACTTCGCATTGATCCCAAAGGACCTTTCTATTGTTCCAATAGATTCCACATGTTGCGACTGATTCGTTCTTTCTTCCAGCTATGCTTTAATTGCTTTGATGTCCTTTATTCATAGGCAAAAACAATCTAAATCCTCAGATTATATAGACAATCTTCTTATAGAATCAAAAATTAACATATCTGAAAACACAACATTTTAAACATGGGGTCCAAAAAAGTCAGTTTGTTCTTTCAAAATGGGTGCCAACACTTGATCCTATAGAGAGGGCACGCCATGTCACCAGATGTTGCAGAGGTCCTAACAATTGATTCTATAGAAAGCATCTGGAGTAGTAGAGGGTTGAGCATTGATTTTAAAGTGGATGGTGTGCTGTCAGGTCAGGTCTACAAAATAAAAACCAACCTCTTGGGCCACATTTGCCTAAGATTTTTAAACTGAACTTCACCCTTCATATGTCCCCACACTTCTATAGAAAATCAAAACCAGTCTTGGGCCACATTTGTCAAATATCTTTAAAATTAACTTCAACCTTAATATGTCCCCACACTTCTCTATAGAATCAAAACCAACCTTGGCTATGCATCATTGATTTTCCTATTTGTTGCTATCAAGTTCCACACCCTGAGGCAATGGATTCTATAGAGAACAGGTTTCCAGCACTGCAGGAGGTTGACATTTGATTCTATAGTGGGGCAAACTGCCCTCGGACCTGGTTGTTCGTTATACAACAATAAAACCAAATCTCAAGGTACACCGGAATTTCCACAGCAAAAATGTGATTGCTGTACGAATTTGGCTTTGGCTGGTACCTTGTCCAAACCAAGAGAAACAAGAACCATGACAAGGCAACCAATAAGAAAAACATATAAGCTTAAATAAACACACACACACATAAATATATATATATATACATTATTATACATTTTGCGCATTGAATAAAATCAATCAAACTGCTTGTGCCTAATGTAGCTCCTTTCTTAGAAAAAGCTAAGCCAAACAAAACAACTTGACCAAGAAAAGACCTTGTGAAGATTGAAATAGCCTTCCTTTTTGGCACGTTTGAACGTATGTAGAACACCTCAAGCAAAACAGGTACAACCTACTGGAGCACTAGCACCACTTATTGAGACAGGACACCAGAAGAAACAATTTGTTGCCTGGATAGCAGTTGCAACAATGCTGTTGCATCTTGGTCGAGCTCATTAGCTTCTTTAGTAATGCGCTCCTTTGTTTGAATCTTAATGCCCTTAAGGAGGCATCTTTTTGGTGCTTAAAATTTGCCTTTGAACATGTAGAGCCAGTTAAGCAAGACATACATAACCTTACTGGACCTCACGAAAACCTAGGTTTTGAGCTATTGTTTTACTTCAATTGTTCAGACCAGGCCGGCAAATGGATTAGAGGGCATACCACCAACAAATAGTAAAAAAATGCAAAATACACATTTAAAACAACACAAAAAAACAATGTGTGAGACAAAACCCGGGCACTATTGGATGTTGATTTGTTTTTGTTGGTTTTGCCTTCATTGTGTCTCAAACATTTATGTTTTGGGTACATGTTTTTTTTTATCTAGATCTTTGTCGGCCTGGCTTGAACAATTGAAACAAAACAATAGCTCAACACTTACGTTTTTGTCAGGTTTCAAGACCACAAATAAACATTGTGATTTTGATCATGGTGTGCATTAACAACAAAACATTGAAACAACACATTGTTCAAAACCTAGGTTTTGGTGATTTTTGGTGATGTATCCGCCAAAACCACTGCAAACACATTGCTTTTCCACATGTTTTTTTGCAAGAAAAGCCTTCACTTCGGCAAGTTCTATTTAACAGAACAGGTGTTCCTGAGAGATGCTCTGAAAACAAATCCCTTGATTCCTGGAAAAGACCTACTCAAAGCATGAAATATATAAACTCCAGGGGGCTGATTGGATATATTTTAGGTTGTTTCGAAAGGTTGAGCCTCTGAAGTTTGTTGGAATGCAGCTGGCTCTAGCAACCCAAGGTCCTCTTCATGTACTCGACCATGACAGCTGTGGCCTTTTGCTGCGCGCCCTTGATTGCTGCCTTACTGGAGATCTTTGTGAAGGACGTTTGTTGTTTAATCACGGGAACACTGTGACTCTGCGTAGTCCAAACCTCCCAGGGCTTAATCCCCGCAAGCGCTCCCGCGGAAGTGGGGAATGTTGACGACATGACGTTGGTTGACTTTGTCCAGCAGGAACTTCGCATTGAGGATTTGGTGTTGAACTCTGATACGATCCCCGGGTGGTTTATGGCTATGCTGTATTTCATCTACCTGCTACTGGTGGTGTTCTTCTTCGAAGATGTGGCAGATCCCCAAGTCTCTAGCCCAACTCCGCCAGAGCCGGCAGAGGGAGAGCCGCAGGAGAAGTTCTGGAAACCTGGCCTTTTGACTTGCCTGCTGGCGTCCTTCTTGAGCCATGGATTTGCTTCATGTGGTTTGTTTGCAGCAAATGGCTGACCTCTACACTTTAGGGGATGTGTCCCCGTATCCAGCAGCAAACCCAGGGAATTTAACCCATCCTCTCCGTCCAGGAGTCCGAGGCTCACACACAGAAACTAAGGAGTCCTACAACCTCAACGATGTGCATCGTTTTCTTCGTCAAATTAGCTGAAAAGACCTGGTCCTTGAGCGTCTCAGCCACGGGGTTCTACTTGGCAGCAGCCATGGGGGTTGTAGCGTTGATGAGCTTCGCTAGCAGCGCGGTGACGCCCTACGTGGAGGACCGGAAGGGCCTCTTGATCACCTCCTTGTGTGCCTGCAGCTTGGTGGAATCGGTATGAATTAGTAGTGCGTGCTTTTGCGTCGCGTTGACTGACCATCTCACGAAAGCAGGTTGCGAGCCACGGGATTTGTTGCATTAAGTTGGCGCTGGAGCGTATTCTAGATAGATCTAGATAGAACAAGTTACATATAGGGCCTTTTTCTCAGAGTCCAGGTGACATTGTTGTCGATGCACGGATTGTTGTTGCTTGTTGTTTCTTGAAGCAGGTGTGATGACAGGTCAGGCAGACTTTTCAGCTCAAGGACCTGCTTTGCATATTGTTGGATTGATGACCATCTTTCAGTAATTAATCCTATTGGGACCAATGGTTCATTTTTGGCATTCACCTGTTATCCCAACACCCGCCACATGCCAGGCGTTAGCGCGACCTTGACCTTCCATATCGGTCATTCCTGGGACACGGCCTCGGTGGTGGTCTTCATCCTGGGGTTTTTGCTGATGCAGTCCTGCTCTGGCGTGGTGAAGAACTATGGCTACGCCTTGGTGCCGAAGATTGTGGCCCCAGAGTACAAGGACAACGCAGGCGCGCAGGCTGATGGTTGAGAAGGTTACAACCTCTTGCGGGGCTTGTCAAAACTACCCAGTGACATTCAGTGGCACCCCGACCCCTTCACCCGGCGAAGCCGGCCCCGACATGTCCACGGCTGGACACGTCCCGCATGCAGGCTTTGCGAACATGGTGGTCATTCAGCTGGGGCGTGGCTTGGGCGCCCAGTTGGGGGCAGTGTTCAACACGACCACCTTTGCTGCATCACAGGTGGGCCTTTGGGTAAAGATATTGAAAAGGGGTGGAAGTATATATTCATGAATGTTCAACTGAACTCAATGGGGATCATTGACCCGAGAAGAGTGCAGCAGCCATGAGGATCATCAGGATTCCCAAGTGCCAACCCCACAGGTGGGCTCCTACTTTGTATTGGCGGTTCTAGCCGCATGCTTCACCGGCCAGCTGAAGCAACATGCCAAGGCCATGTAAAGAGAGTGCCTTCGAATTCATTTACAGTTCCCAGAAATATGAGGCCATGCACAGATTGGGCCATCCCTTCCATTGTACAGCCCGCTGCCAAAAAGCGCAGAAAGCCTCCAGCTCAAGCCTAAAATGCGATCAAGCCCTTCAAACGTTGCATGGTCATGTCGCAAGGGAACAACCCAGCAACCCTGGATCATTACGGGGTCCACTTCTTGGCACTCGTAGCACAATATGAGATGGTTAAAGATGTTGAGCTTTATTGGAACACTCGATCCCCAAGCCAAGTGGAGGGTGATGTTGGTGGCCCAGGACGATCAGCCGCATGATGGTTCAGTGGAGAGCGAATTTGAGAACGCCAAGATCAACCAACGTTTCTCACCTGCGCGGTGAAGCCGGCCGGCGAGGTGAACATGGTACAGAAAGCCAGACATGGAACGGAAGGCGTATGCCTCGGACATGGCCATGCAAAAGGGCTACGTTGTGAGAAAGTAGGACCGTTGGTTGGCAACGTGCAGACGACCATGCAGGCATATACAGATTATACAGGAACTTGATCAGAACCGCATGGATGTCCAACACGGGACTCGGACAGCTGCCATTAGGCTCAAGCGAAATGCTAAGAATCTACGTAAGTAGGCCACGAGTGAGGCAGGCAACCTTCCTTGAACCAGTTTGACGAGCGGTTGAACGATACAGGTGGTTTAATCGACAGCAAGTGTCTTTGCATGGAGCTCATTGAGGCTACACAACTCCTATCTCACTAGGACTCAGTATCATTGAACGTTTGGCTGCCAATCGCACACACACACACGTATAATCACGTATGTATATATATATATCATGCAACGATATCTCAGAATTTTGATCATGTTGGGACCTGGAAGGCCGCTACATTGCAAATCCCGAACAGTCATGGCAGCGGAGCAGAAAGTCAGAGTGCCAGAGCAGCGTCACAGGACACTTGGAAGAAATTAATTTGTTTTTTTTGTCTTTCCTTGGCATGTGTTTTCCGCAGTTAGTAAGGTGCAGCTGTGATATCACATTTTCGCAGTGGTTTACCTGTTCTTACTCCTTGTTCGCCAAGGTTGGGGTTAGGCAGTGCATTTGGGAGACCCAATGGGTGTGGGGATGTGTGGAACTGTCTTTTAGGTAGGCTTGGCGGAGCTTCTGAGGCAAGAATTGATCCTGGACATTGCCATTTTCATTGCAAACCAAATGATATTTCGATCTCTCGATTGCACAAACGCCTCCACCTGTGCCATCCCCGCAGTGGTAACAGCTGCTCGCGTCTTCTTTGCAACAGCCTTAGGGAAAGGCCTTCCACCAAACGTGCCAAGAAGTGCAGAACAATAGGTGAATCTTGTCTCAGGTCGCTTGCAACACACTACTGCTGGTGGCCTTCTCTGGTCAGTTGAAAACTGCTCGCTCTTTGCCCCAGAACCCTGCAGTTTTGCAGGACCTGACGAATTCGACCGTGCCGCTGCCCATTTTGTTGCACCACTTGCGCGGCTCAATTCTTTCAGGATATTGAAGCTATGCAGAAGCGGCGGAAGAAGGCTGGGTTGCCAGAAGGAGGCAATCAAGCTTCAAGAGTGGACCACTTGCTTGACTCCAAATGGACATGTTGAATGGCTCCAACACTTCAAATTGCCATCCGCCACAACTGCCACACAACCATTTCTTGTCAAACCTCTAGAGTTGAAAGGGATTTTCAGAAAGTTGGTTTGCGCAGGCCGTGTTGAAGTTTGTCATCCTTTTGATGATTCACGCCGCAGAGTTGCATTATGTTGCGTGTCAGATCGGCCCAAGATCTGGCCTGCGCAAATCTCGAAGATGAACATGTTGTATTTACATTTGGTTGGTTGCATGCCGCTGTTAGTGCAAAGAAATGTGTTAAAACCTTCTAGGTGGCTGGATACTGACAACCCAGGCACTGATTGAGGCTGTAGAATGAAACGTCATGTGGATGACCAAACTTGTTCTTGATGAGAATAACATGTTTCCGACTTACCCGTTTGGTGGAAGAAGTGCAATTTGAACTTTAAGGTCACTTTCGGGCTTGTTGCACCTTTGGTCACCAGCTGCTGCATCAGCATCGTAGCGCTTCCGTATTGGTGGGACAAGGAGAACTCATACTGGCGGAAGTATGGAGGAGGGCGAAATAGCCCATGATGTTCTTGCAATTACACGCTGGGCGGGTGCTTAGATATTCGACTTGCTTCATTGTTTTGGTAGTGTAGCTGATGGCCATCAAAAGCATGGCAAAATTGGAAAACTACAATACAAACAATTATGTCAACTATGCTATATTTAGAGATTGATTTAAAGAACACCCCATGTTACGAAATAACGTTATTGGTATTATATAGTTAAATCCAACATATGTTGGAACATTTTTCATATACATGATTTACGAAAGGTGATGTGCATAGCCTTCAAGGTGCATGCCTCATATGGGTAGAGGCAATTTTAAATTTTGGAAAGTAGCTGTACTCGTACATAAAGATACAGTGCTTTTTAATGGGTTATGAGCCTAATATCGGCCATAGCGCCGCACACATCGCCGCAAAGCAGATTTCTTGCAGGTGTGGGGAAATTGGAAATGACCTTAGAAAGCGGCTGGCCAATGGGTCCTATTTTATCGGGGGGAATGGAAAAGGATATATTATAACACGTTCTTCAAGATATATTCCACTCCCTAAAACATTATATATATTTAATAAATAAACAGAACGGCAGCTCCTGGGAATGCATCGCTTTGGTCCTTTATAAATTGATTTTCACAATTTCCGATTTAGCATTGAAAAAGGTGATGATTCGATTCTCTAAAAAATATAAGTATTTTTTGTATGGGTTTTAATTGTTTCTAAAGACTATAAAGAAATATATTCTAGAATCTAATTATTGATCGCCCTACTTTGGTTCTATGTTTTTTTATTAAATTCGTATGCATTTTATAAAGTATATTAAACATTATTTTTTAAGGCATTTATTATAATTATATTCGAATATGTTCTTGATGCCGAATTTTGCGTTTATAAAAAGGCCCGTTTAATTCCTCCTTGAAATTTTAATAGGGATAAAATATTGGATATGGAGGCTATTGTAAGTGTCGCAAATCGAATTAAGTATTTTAATGAAATTGAATATTTAATTAATGCGGAGTTGTAATTAATGGGGAATTAATAATGTCGTATTTATACATAGAATGATTGATAATATATATTTAAAAAAAAATTGATATGTTTTAATGGGAATATATAGCAATGGGAATATGTTTTTTTTTTTTTTTTTTTTTTTTTCCAATTGATATGGAAGATTTATTTTATATAATTATAGTTATTTTGAAATTCTTTTATTATATAATAAAGAATATATATTTTAATATTGTGAAATATTATTAATTATTATTGGCAATGAAAG